TAATGAGCGCCTGGCTGATCTGCATGCCCGTTAGCACGTATCAATGTAGAAAGCTTCGTGCTGGCCGACGGGGACAGCTCGCCCAGCCCCCAATCCTCGTCTCATGTCATCCTTCTCCCTCCCCCCGTCCCCCACCCACGGCGCGGCAACATATGGACTGTATCACTGCAGAGTGCTGGACTGGTTCAATCGTAGAGCTTAGGATAACACAACGCGTGCGATGCAAAACACACCCCTGATGTAGCATCCGCGCTGCATGCGATGCTTACGACCTCTTCTGCTTCTTGGCGCTCTCCTCGTGGATCGGCACAGCCTTAGCCTTGGGCTTGACGAATACCTGGAGCTTTACGTTCGGCCCGATGTCGGTAATATTGGTCAGCACTGGCAGCGTGATGCCACCGTGGGACACGTGGCTCGTAGCCATGTTGGCTTGCTTCTTATCGTATGTTGTCGCGACCCACCAGTACGCAGCCACGAACGCGGCTTCATCGAACTTTCTGGTGCCGTTTTCGCTTGGCTTCGGCACAGGCAAAACAAAAAAAATGAAGCGGCGTGCCGCTGCCAATCGTGTGGTCGCCAAGCGGCACGCCCGACCCATTAGACGCGTTCTTCGAGCTTATGTTGACCAACGGTGCCACTGGGACCAGTGTAAGCTGCCCCTGCTTGATCGCACACGTGGTCCGAACCTCACCTGGCTTCCGCCAGAAGATTAGCGTTTGCTTTCCCATGTGCTTGGCGTCTAGCTCGAGAAGAGCTCGGTACAATATAGCCTTTTGCTTGTCGATGTTCAACTGACGGGGCCGCTGCTGATCACCCTCCATCTGCTTTGGCGGCTCAGCTTTTGAGAGCGACCACTTATCAAGGAGATCTTCCAATGCAATTTCAGCCGCGTGTGGCTCTCCGCCGTGGTTGACCACCTCGTGAAGCTTGACCATATGGCCGATGCTGAAGACAGCGTAAAGCCTCTGGGCTGGAACATCCTTCTGAACTACGAAGGACCCGACCGAGTAACCAGGCTTCTTGGCAATCCACGCAGGGTCCTTATGGTCGTTGAGCGTCGCCGTGGCAGACGCTGCAGGCATTGCCTTGGCAGTTGCAGCTGCGCCGCTCGAGACCGAATACTTATTCCACTCATCGAACGTGACGGTCTGACCCTTGATGGAGCTGACACCGCTCAAGGATGATTTGCACATGTCGCCCCACGTGTACGCGACCCCCTCCCGGCCCGACTTCTCTTCCCCCACGAGTTTCAAAGCAACCTTCACGAATAGCTGCCCTAACGGCTCCAAGGCCGCCTCGATGCCGTCGAGCACCTTTGCTATATCCATGGCCTCTCCAAGTATGCGTTCAGCTATCAGTGCTTCAGCCTGCTTAGGCTTGCCTGCAACCTTCGAGACGTCAGCCTTCATCAGCAAACGCGCCACGCCGTCCTCAACCTTGTCGCCAGTGAGGTTTGCGATAGCAAGCGACACCCGCACCAACGGATGCAAATTGGTTTTGGACGCAAGCGTTGCGTGAGTCAGCGCTTCCCAAAAACTTTGTCCAAGCGTAACATTGCAACCAAATTGCTTTGCAACCGAATCCATGAACGCCGCGCGTGGAGCACCGTCGCCACCGCCGAAATTCTCGACAAACTCAAGCAATGTCTTGCTGTACTTGGCGCTCGGCACGTTAAGCGAAACAACGTTCTCGATTGCCAACTCTTTCCAGCTCTCGAGCTCGCGCATCCCTGGGTCATTGGCACTCGCCGCTAACGTCATGCAAGTCTCAAGCTCCCCAGCCTCAGTGCCGACGTGATTCTGCGTGTTCAAAGCCCTCTGGGCAATAACAGCGAAGCGTGGGAATAGCTCGCCGATCACATTGGGGACCACCTCCCACTTCCAGCCCTTCTCAATCATGATTTTGAATTGCTCGTTTTGGAACAGCTTTTGCAAATCTATCATGTCTGAGTCAATGCATTGCAATGACTTTTGAGACGTCTTGCCCTGGACCCCTGCCTGCTTACAGAAAGCCGTGGTGTGCCCACGCCCGACTGTCACGTAGCGCTCTGGCCCACTCACAGGCGCTAGAAGCCCTTGGGCTCGATCCACCAGCTGCTTATTTTTACTGATGTGCGTCCAGCGGAGGGGGGAAGTGACCCCAAGCTCGATGCACAGAGCATTTGATAGCTGGCGAATGTCAGCTCCGCACGCGTGGATCCTAGCAGCATTGCGGTGTACGCTATGCGGGCTCAGCAAAAGCCCCCCCCCCCCCCCCTATTGACCGCATGCGTGAGGAAAAACTTCGGGGGAATGTGGTCCACTGTGTAAGCCAGCTTGTGCCCGCGAAGGCATTGCATAAGCTTATCCAAATGCTCATTCGCCTTCATTTTCTTAATGTCCAGAATCTTCTGGAACTCCTGTTTGAAAGCTTGGCTAAGCTCGGCCATTGCACACGCGGTAGCTGAGCACGTAAATGAGCAGCTCTGGAAAAGCACAGCTGATGCTATGAGCCGATGCGGCTGCAAACGACAGGAGGCAAATGCAAGTGCAATGGTCAACGTATACATCGCAAGTAAAGCGTTCCAGGCCCCCCAACTATAGTGGATTGCGTGCCCCCCCCACTCTTATCCACAAATTCGGAGCCCACGCTTGTTAAAACAATGATGATGGCATGCGCCATGGCGGTTGCTATTGAATCCGCCGAACGGGCCCTGGAGCGATTCGCGCGGTGATCCCGAAGCTGCAATATGGATTAGCAAACATAAGAATCACGCGGGACACAATTCGACTGCCCGAATGATGGGACGTGCAAACAAGGTTGGTCCAATCTCGATGCTCAAACCCTGACATATGTGCGACGTTGATTCGTGTTTTTGCGTTTGTGGCCCAGCATGGGTTTCATGCTTGTAACGCTTCGGAAGCTACATGTTATTGTGTTGGAAGCTACATGTTAAACACGAAAACGCACATATTGAATATGTGAAAAACTGATTTCTTAGGTGTTAGCATAGGTCGAATTTCGATGTTTAACCAAATTATTTATTATGTTCACCTACGATAACCATTTATGTTTGGCATTCGATAAACAGTTTAGCACATATACCATGAAAAGCTATGTTGAACCAGTAACCTACTTAACAACAGCTGAACCTCTACTACTGTTCATGTTGGCGTATTAAAGTCCACATGGACTTTAGCTAACTATGACAAACAAGCTACGTAGCTATAGCATCATGCTGCTGGCTTACAAGTGGGTTGGGCGTAGCCTACAACCACCTTATCATATCCTTATAGAGCTCATAAGCTGTAACAAAGCCGACATTCATCTCAGTAGGGGGGTGGTATTTTGACTCGGGGCCCGCTCCCGGGACGCCTCTGCGGGAGGAGGAGGAGGAGGACGAGGAGGAGGAGGAGGAGGAGGAGGAGGAACAGGAGGAGAGGAGCAGGAGGAGGAGGAGGAGGAGGAGGAAAGGAGGAGAGAGGAGGAGGAGGAGGAGGAGGAGGAGGAGGAGGAGGAGGAGGAGGACCAGGAGGAGGAGGAAGTGCATCCCGTGCGTGCCCGCTCGAGGAAAGTGCGCCCTGGCGGGCGTCGTATCTGCCCCGGCCCCCCCCCCCTCCCACCCCCCCTGCGGGGAAGGGATCAAAGGGAAGGCGCTTCCCTTCGACTCCACTACGACGTCGTTTAATTTCGCTTTGGATAGCGCGCTTGAGGAGGAGAGCCCTGGGAGGGGGAGAACGGAGACGACGGAGACGACGAGTCGAACGGAGAAACCCTTCACACACGCCGACAGGGTCGGCGGATTTTTCTCGACGATGACCATCGAGGAGCATCTGGAGTCATCTTGCGAAAAATACACGCACGAAACCGAAACATGCACGGGGAATGGACGTCCGAGCGATGGCGGGTCTTCGTGCCAGGGCTCTTCACCATGGGCTGCTCTCGGCTAGGGGCACCTCCGTGGGGACCTGGGCCCGCGGCGGAGGGGCCCATGCCATCGGCCCGCGCTCTTGCGGCCGTGCTTCGATTGTGCCCACTTTGGCTCAAGCCCTGGCCCGGCCAGCCCCCTGCCATAGTCGACCAAGCAACAAATGACACCACTTCACCTACGGCCCTCCATGTTGCGCTACGGCCGATGACGCCAGATTTTCCAGTATACGCTAAGCGTCACGGGGCCGTAGGTGGGGTGGTGCCGTTTGTTCTCTGGTCCACTCAGGACGCGACTCCTGGGAGCTGATCTTTAGCATGGGCGCTGGTACGCCCGTGATCGAAAGCCGCCTTAATCCAGCGAGTACCACTTCATCCGTCTTGGCTCTGCTCAGCCCGGCTCGACCCAGGGTGTAGTCGGGCCTGATTTGGCCTAGTGGCTCCCCGATCGGGCTTGATCGCCTCAAATGGTCTCCGCGAGGGCCTCCCAGAAGCTGCCTCCTGACGACGCGCGAACAGCACACACCCATCCCCAAGGGCGACGGAGGGGGCTACGCGTGCGTGTCGTCGTGCTGGGTGCCCCCGCTCGAGCGGGAGCCTCCCCCGCGGTCCGACAACCCGCACCCGTACCCATAGCCAGTTCGGATGCAGCGATGGGTACGGGCCCGCGGCCAGACGGGGCGCGCCGCACGCGCGCCGCGGCGCCGCGCAGGCGACCACGGCACATGCAGGACGGACGGGCGAAAGGCAGCGGGCCCGCCCGTCCGTCCCGCATAATGGCCCGCGGGCCCGACCCCCCTGTGGGTACGGGCGTGTGCTGCTCGCTCGCCATCCTGCCCTGCCCCGCCCCGCGGCCCAACAGTTGGGGAGCGAACAGTGACACGAACATAAAAACTCGGAGGTCCGCGCGGATTTCTCGGCTCGGCGCTGGCCCCCCCTGGCGGCGCCTCCGGCGCCGCCCCTGGCGCGCGGAGCGCGCCAGGGAGGGGGGCCCAGCGCCGAGCCGAGAAACCCGCGCGGACCTCCGAGTTTTGATGTTCGTGTCATTCTCTGTTCCCCAGACAGGGCAGGGCTGGCCAGGGGGGGGGGCGGCCATGGCTCGTGCGGCGGCGCCCCTGCCGCTGCCGCCGCTGTCCGCCAGGGAGCCCCGCCACGTCTGCGACAGGTCCGTCGAGGACCGCGGGGGCCTCCGACCGCCGCGGCCTCCGTGGCCCCCGCGCTCTGCCCCGCGACCCCTCGCCCTCCCCGGAGCGGGAGCCAGCGCGGGGGGGACTCGCCCAGCACGGATTCGGGCCGGCAGGACGGGCGGGCAAGGGCGAGGTTCTGGATCCGGGGCGGTTGTTGCCGCTGTTCTGCCTTCTGCTGCCTCCAGGGGCCGCTCTGGGGCCCCCGGGGCAGGGACACAGCCGGCTCCGGGGTGCGAGAAGCTGCGCCAGATGGATGGATCCCAGGAGGGGCTCGGGGCTAGATTCTGATCGGATTTGGCCTCGCCCCCCCCCCCCCGCCTGACCCAGTTCCGACCCCCTGGCCGCCTCGAAGCCTCCGTGGCCCCCGCGCTCCGCCCTCGGTCTCTCGCCCGCCCAGGGGGGAGGGGCTTCTCTGGCCGCCGCCCACGGGGCCATCGGAGCCGAAGCTCCTCACAGGACGCGTGTTGGCCCAGCGCGTGTCGTTGTTGCCCCCGGGCAGCTCCGTCGGCAGCACACGGCCTGCGTCGGTGCTCATCACACCGCCTGCGTCGTACTAACGAGCTTCGGTGGGCAAGCATTAAGTCGGGCACTCTCCTCTACAGGAGGAATGCCCAAACATAGTCAGAAATAGTCAGGGGACGATGTTTTAATACAACTTTTGCATATTCGTTGCATACTTTTAGACTTGGTTAAACAGTTATTTCTCCCCAGATCGGCCTGTAGGGGGACATGCCCGATCTAAGGCAAGCACGCGCTGGCACTGGGAGCGCGGCCTGGGGATCATCGGACCACACGCTCAGGGCCCGTAAGCCAGGACTCAGCGCACCTGGAGAAGCCGAAGAACGGAGGCTGTCCCGGTCTTCGCGCACGGTTGCCCCACGGCTGCAGTCTTCGCGGGCGCGCCAGCCGTCCTGGTTCGGTGGGCTGTGGGAAGCCTCCCTCCACAGCGCAGCGCCCCGAGAGGCAGATCCGCGAGCAGCAGCTGCCTTCGGGGAAGCGCCGGGGTCGCTCCGGTGGGAGGAGAGGGCCCGCCGAGGCGGCCTCTGCAAGGGGAGTATTCAAAAAGAGTCCATGGCCTGGGGGCGATGTGTCTTGACAACTTTTGTGAGCATCTCTTCTTAAATGTCTCGTCCAAGCTCCCCCATGCAGGAGGACGTGCCCGACCGAAGTCTATAAGAGTGTCTCGAGGCTGCGTGGCAGGCTCGCTCGAGAGCAGTCGGCGGCGCGCCGCGCCGCCGTACACTCCAGGCGATGCTTAAGAAAACCAAAGTTTTCGGCCAGAGTCTCGATTATTCTTAACGTTTCAGTGTACATCCCAAGATTTTGATAGAAATTCTGCGTTTTAATTCAAATTCTGAGACTATGAATTTCTTAACCCATGATTTCTTAAGCATTTCGCAGGGTGTAGGGCCCGCCTCGCCCGGAGGCAGGCGGATCCGCCCGCCGGCTGCCCGCGCGTCCGCCGGTGGGGCGCTGCGCTGCGGGGCCTCGGCCGGCCCTCCGATCTGGTGCGGCGAAGGCACGCGTCGCAGGCCTAGAGATTGACACCAACACCAATATTCAGAGCCCCGAATCATCAGGGGTAACTCGGGTCAGGGCTAACTCGGGTTCGTTTTTCGGGATTCCGAACCCGACTTACCCCAGACCCGAGTTACCCCGGATAATTCGGGCATCCAGAGCCCCGAATCATCAGGGGTAACTCGGGTCAGGGTTAACTCGGGTTCGTGTTTCGGGAATCCAAACCCGAGTTACCCCGGACCCGAGTTACCCCGGATAACACGGGCGCCCAAAATATCGGCGGTGTGCATCCACCGAGGGAGGAAGATCCCGACCTCGGTGATGGTGGTACTATTCTGGCCTCCGAGGTGGCCGAAGTATTGCCACCAGCACCGAGATCGAGGGTCGTCTTCCCCCTGTGGAGGCAACCTCTCGTGTTGGTGTTGGTGCCCATTTCTAGGCCTCCAAACATGTGCAGTCGGTGGGGGGTGGATAGAACCCCCGCCCTGACGCGTCGATTAGTGAATTGTCCGTTTTCGGGTCTCGAGGGGGCGCCGCGGCGGTTATTTTCCAGGCTTGCGCCCGCCAGGTTTGGGCCCGAGGTCGTTTTCACTAAATCACGTTTTGCTCAAGGGGGGTCTGTCCATCCCCGAGTCGGGGCGCTGAAGAGGGAACCCTCCCTTTTCGTTGGGGAGGGGCTCGGTGTTCCTTGACTGTTTTACAGTTTGCCTCGGGTTGTCCTGGTTTTCCATGGGAAATCGAAGTTTGACTTAAGGGGAAAAGGGGCCTCCCTCCTCACTCAGGGTTCCTTGGGTCAGCGCCCCGACTGTGCACCACCACCGTGCCAGGCCAGGGCCGTCCTGGGCCCGAGCATGGTGTATAGACCCTCCTGGCCTCGGCCAGGAGGGCGTACACACCATGCCAGGGACAGGATGGCCCTGGCCTGGCACGGTGGTGGTGTATAGCTGCCTTCTGCGTGCGTGCGTCCGCCGGTGAAGTGCTGTGCCGCCAGGCCTCGACTGGCCCTCCTCCGATGTGGGGCCCACGGGCTTACGGTTCCGTCGGGCGTGTCCCTCTACAGGAGGAGTGTTCCAGCAGAGTCCAAGAAATAGTCGGGGGACGCTCTTGTTTTGATTGTTTGCTGACCATGTTTGAGTACGTTCGGATCCTGTTCTAGTGTTCGTCCAATTTAAGCTCCTCTTGCAGGGGGACGTGCCCGACCTACTAGGCCTCGGTTGGCCCTCCTCCGATGCGGGGCGTGGGCTCACGACTGGGAACCTCTGCTCGGCGTGTCGCGCCGCCGGCTCTGGTCCACCACTCCCCAGGCGCGGCACTGAGCACGCCCAGTCTCTTTCCTCCTCCTCCTCCTCCCCTCCTCCTCCTCCTCCTCCTCCTCCTCCTCCTCCTCCTCCTCCTCCTCCTCCTCCTCCTCCTCCTCCTCCCCTCCTCCTCCCCTCCTCCTCCTCCCTCCTCCTCCTCCTCATCTCCCCCTCCCCCTCCTCCTCCCCCCCTCCTCCTCCCCCTCCTCCTCATCCTCCTCCCATCCTCCTCCTCCTCCTCCCCCTCCTCCTCCTCCTCCTCCTCCTCCTCCTCCTTCTCCTCAGGTCGCCTGCGGCCCCGGAGGAAACCGTGCACGACGCGGCCCCAGGCGTCGACGTCCCGAGCTCATCCAGGCCCGTCCTGCGGAGCGGAGCGGCGCGCTGTCTGCCTGCAGGGCGCAGCGTGTCGCCAGGGCCGCGGCCGCGACACGCCCTGAGCAGAGGTTCCCGACCGCAGGGAAGTCATGGCGCTGGAGGTCTGGCGAGACTGTTTCTTACCCTCTGGGCGCGTGACGGTCGTTACCCGGCCCTCCCCTCGCCCCCCCCCCGCCCGGACAATGGCAGCGATCGCACGCAGAGGGGCATGTGCCGGCGTTCGCGCACTCACTGCGGCGACCGCAGCGCGCCCCTGCCCCGACGTGCCCCTCCCCGCCCAAGCGCTGCCGTTGCCTGCCCCCCCTCCCTTCCGGGTGACGAACGATGCCAGACATGAGCCAACAGTCTCGGCATAGGACCTGGAGGCTGCGGTGCGACAGGTTCCCGTCAGACGCCCAGCCGCGCAAGCCCGGCCCGCGGGCGCGCCGCAGACGGCGCGGGGGCTCCTCGAGGTGAACAGGGCGCTGATCGAGGAGAAGAAGGATTTCGGAAGCGTAAGACTCTCAGGGGCAAAGTCAGGGGGCGATAAAAGGCAAGGTGCTCACTATACTTACGCAGGCCGAAAGATTTTCCTCTTGAGCCCGAAATGTCGGAAGCGACGTGCCGTTCAGATGAGCGGATACATGTGCCCCCCTCCTCGTAATCATAGCTTTGGTCAGCGGATCCACAGCTCCGTGGATAGCATGATGCTTCACGTGCGGTGCCCCGCGGATCCCATTTCCCTTTGGCTGGGAGCCATTTGTTTTAATGATTTATGCACTCCCGGAAAATAAGTGGATCCATGTTTTTTTTCACACACGGAAAATTGGATCCGCGCAAGACAGACATATGATCCACGACGCTGTCGCGCACCCGAAAAAGGGATCCAATCGGATCCATCGGTGTTCTCAAATGTTTAGTCCAAGAGGCAAACACGATCGGCTTTGGGATGAAGGATTCGGCACCCCTCTCGCACTTGCACGCAGGGGCGGCGGTGGCACAACACATTCACCTGACATCACGGAAAGAGTGCACGGTGTTAGTGGTAGAGGCGCAGTTCGGAGTCTCGCTGAAGGATTCGGCACCCCTCTCGCACTTGCACGCAGGGGCGGCGGTGGCACAACACATTCACCATACATCATGGAAAGAGTGCGTGGTGTTAGTGGGAGACACGAAGGTCTAAATCCCGCTCACGCAGGCCAGAAGATTTTCCTCGTGAGCCCGAAATGTCGGAAGCGACGTGCCGTTCAGGTGATCGGATGCATGTGCCCCCCTCCTCGTGCCTCCTCCCTCCTCCTTCCCCATTCTGTCATGGGAACCCCCTCTTCCCTCGCATAGTCACAGCATTGGTCCGTGGATAGCATGATGCTTCACGTGCGGTGCCCCGCGGATCCGATGGCCCCTTGGTCTGGGATGTGAGTTACTCTCAGATTTCATTCCTGGAAGAGAAAGGGTTTCATTGGTTGCTCGCACGGGAAATTCGATCCGCGCAAAACAGAAATATGATCCACGACGATGCCGCACACCCGAAAAGGGATCCAATTGGATCCGCCGGTGTTTTCTTATGTTTATTCCAACAGGAAAACACTGTCGGCTTGGGGATGACATGTTGGCACTCTTCCCGCACTTGCACACAAGGGCGGCGGTGGCACAACGCATTCACCAGGCATCACGGACAGAGTGCATGGTGTTACTGGTAGAGACGCAGTTCGAAATCCCGTTGAAGGATTCGGCACCCCTCTCGCAGTTGCACGCACGGGCGGCGGTACAATCATAGCTTTGATCAGCAGATCCACAGTTTCGTGGATAGCATGGTGTTTCTCGTGCGGTGCCCCGCGGATCCAATTTCCCCTTGGTCCGGGGTGCTAAGTATCATTAGATTTTACCCCGGAAAATAGATGGATCCATTCGTTGCTCATACGGGAAATTCGATCCGCGCAAAACAGAAATAGGATCCACGACGTTGTCGCACACCCGAAAAACGGACCCAATCGGACCCATCGGTGTTCTCAAATGTTTAGTCCAAGAGAAAAACGTTTGGCCAGGGAATGTAGGCGATGAGATCAGTGACGGCATTTTAGGTTCGAGCTTCAGTGAGCTCGTTGCCACCATCCCTTTTACACTCAGCGGGCTCACTGCCGCCATCCCGCTGATCGAGGGGAAAAAATGATCCCGGAAACGTGGGACTTTCAGGGGAGGATAAGGGGCTCAGGGAGCGACGCATCGGCCTGCAGTCGCCAACTCGTCGCCGATAGAGGGGGCCCGCTAGTCCCGCCCCCCGAGCGTTTGCCATCGGAGGCTTTGTTGCCGACCTGTCGGCGATGTGTCGCCGATTCCTGGTCGATGTTTCTCCTGCTGAACCATTCCCCCCCCCCCAACGTTGACTTGAGTCTGGCGGAGCCCTGCTCCTTCTCGCTTCCGCACTGCCAAGTCGATCAGCGAATTGCCCTTTTCCGCTTCTCTAGAGGCAGCTGTGGCCGCAATTCTGCGGGCCTGCTGCAGCGGTGTATGGTCCCCAGGGCCTTTCCACTAAAGGGTGTTTTGCGAAAGGGGGCTCTGTCCACCCCCGAGAAAAATCGGGGAGACATAGGCCTCGAGCTCGCTAGAGCTTAGAGCTCCGTTTTGCCGCCGCGTTTTGACGGTCTCGCCGTGGATGTTGACGGCTTCGGCGTGAGTGCTTGCTGGCCTCGGTGGCCTCGGCATGACTTGTTGGCGGCTGATCGAGGAACGGACGGAGCCAACGCCCGCTCCGATCCGATCGATCCGAGTCGGTATCGATTCCGGCCAGCCCTGTCCGATTCGATTCCCATGTTCCGACGGTCTGGTGCGGCCCGATGTTTGCGTGGGCGTTGTCGTGCATCCTGGCGCGGCCGATCCGATCCAGTTTCGACCCCGTGCCGATGCAGTTCGATCCGACGCGCATGTCGGTTGGATCGGAGTGCCTTGTTCGATGCTGGCTGATCCTGGAAGGAGAAGAAGGCCCTGCAGAGGCAGAGCTCCCGCGAGGAGTTCGAGCGGCTTCTTGAGCGGAACCGCGCTACGACGGAGAGCGAGAAGTCGCGCGCGCTCACCAGGCGCATCGCCGAGCGAGAGCTCGCGCAGTGCTACAAGTCGAAGATAGGCGAGAAGGACCTCCTGATGCGTCGGGAATGCATCCTAACATATCGATCCTGTATCCTCCTCCTCGTCCTCGATACTCGATACTCGATGCTGGATCCCCCTTCACGGTCATCCACAAACGGTGCGGTGACCATACGGCGTGGCAAGTCAATGGGGATTCGGGGTGGCCACACGGCTTTTGTGACGATCGCTCTCCGAGGATGTCTCGGGCTTAGATGTTGTTTCGGTTGTTCAGTTTTCAACTTTTCGGGTAGACCGTACAGCTTTTGTGGTGATCGTTCTTCGAGCACGTCTCGGGCGACTGGGGCCTCCAGGGTTCCCAACACCACCGTGTGGCGAGGGACCGTGCAGGGAGCTCTTTGCGGATTCCGGGGTCACAGCGCGGCCTGTCGCATCACATGCCCCCCCCCCCACCGGGGGGGGGGGACGACTCGGCCAGTGGGGCCTGGGCCATGCCACCGGGGACGGGGATCGGCCAAACGGTGCTCGAGAGGAGAAGACCAGGACCCACGCCTACAGCGAGAAGCTGGCGAACGCCACGTCCAGCGAGCACTGGCCGTTCAACGAGGGGGAGACCATCGACAGGGTGCGCGGCGAGAAGGGCCGCGCGCTGCAGCAGGAGATTCAAGTCGGGCCTGTCCCTCTACCGGAGGAATCCGCTGGGCCCCCTGTGGGGCCACCACGCTGTAGGCCGAAGCTTCGCAGTTTCCTGTAGCAGTTGCAGCTTCCAGTTTCCACTGTTACAGTTCTGCGTCTTGCTGCTTACTGTTCCTTGTTGACTTCTTGCTGCTTACTGTTCCTTGTTGATGGACCGCGCGAGGAGGGGAGGCCCAAAACGGAGATTTTTACCACGCCCTGAGCGTGTGCTTTGAATTGCTGGGGTGGGTAAGAATTGTCACCCCTCACGCAGATCGACGGGGTCAGGGTCCACAACCACAAGGGATGTGCTACATTTCTGAAATTCGGTGGCACCCCCCATGCAGATCGGTGGGGTCTGGGTCCAAAAACACATGGGATTCGCCACATTTATAGTCACAAAATGGTCTGGGGACGATTGTTTTGCATGTTTTGACTATTTGGGAGCATTTTTTCTATTTAATCGCTTTGCTCATGCCGCCGGCCCTGGAGCCCTCTTTAGGGCCTCTTGGGGGCCTCTTGGGGACCTCTTGGGAGTCTCTTGGGGCTCCTTGGCGGCGTTTTGGAGGCCCCCAGGGCCTCTTGGGGGGCTCTTGGGGGTAGTCGATTGCGGCTCCCCCCTCGGAGGCCACGATCCTCGTGAGGGGTGTCGAAAAATACCCTCCCCTTGACTATTTGGGAGCATTTTTTCTTATTTTTTGTTTTTCTTCCAAAATCCCCCAGCAGGGGGACACGCCCGACTTAACAGGAGATGCGGGGCTACCTGCAGGAGCAGCGCCGGCAGCACCCTCCGCGCGCGGAGTTCGACCCCCTGGTGGCACACAACCCCACCAAGGTGCCCTCTGCTCCTCCTCCTCCTCCTCCTCCTCCTCCTCCACCTTCTCTTCCTCCTCCTCCTCCACCTTCTCCTCCTCCTCCTCCTCCTCCTCCTCCTCCTCCTCCTCCTCCTCCTCCCCCTCCTCCTTCTCCTCCTCCTCCCTCCTCCTCCTCCTCCTCCTCCTCCTCCTCCTCCTCCCCTCCTCCTCCTCCTCCTCCTCCTGGCTGAAGTTGACTGCAGCTCTTTCGCGGACTTCCGATCCGGATCCGATCCTCCTCCTCCTCCTCCTCCCCCTCCCTCCCCCTCCACAATTACTCAATATGAAATACTCTCCCTCTTCCCCTGATGGCGTCCGGGTGATGGCCGCGCACCCTCCGCGTACTGTTTTTTACACACAGGATGCCCGGGAAATCCCGGGAAACGACTCTCGCTGAGGCGCCGGCGTCATTTTTTCCCAAAATGCTGCTCTCGTTGAGGCGCCGGCCTCATTTCTGCTCCCGAATCGTTCCGAATCGTGCTCCCGCTGCAGCGTGGGCCTCATTTTCGGATCGGTGTTTGGCCTCCGTCGTTCAGGATGGCGTTCTCGCCCCAGCGCGGGCCTTTTTCTCGCGCGCCCATCCGCCCGCCACCACCGCGCCGCACCGCCACCACCACCACCACCACCACCACCACCACCACCACCACCACCACCACCACCACCACCACCACCACCACCACCACCACCACCACCACCACCACCACAACCAGCACCAGCACCAGCACCAGTACCAACACCACCACCACCAGCACCCACCACCACCAGCACCACCACCACCACCACCACCACCATCACCACCACCACCACCACCACCACCACCACCACCACCACCACCACCACCACCACCACCACCACCACCACCCACCACCACCACCACCACCACCACCACCACCACCACCACCACCACCACCACCACCACCACCACCACCACCACCACCACCACCACGACAACCACGCACACACGCACGCACGCACGCACGTGCACCACCACCCACTACGCACGCGCGCGCGGAGCCACAGGTCCGCTACGACACGCGTCCGCGGATAGAGAAAATCAGCGCCATGGTAAGGGATGGGAGGGAGGGGTAGGACGTCAGATATGACGCGAGCGCACCTAGCTTGTCCCCCCCCCTCCCTCCCTCTCCTCCTCCTCCTCCTCCTCCTCCTCCTCCTCCCTCTCCTCCTCCTCCTCCTCCTCCTCCTCCTCCTCCTCCTCCTCCTCCTCCTCCTCCTCCTCTTCCTCCTGGCTGAAGCTGAGTGCAGCTCTTTCGTGGACTTCCGATCCGATCCGATCCGATCCTCCTTCTCCTCCTCCTCCTCCTCCTCCTCCTTCGTCGGCGACCACGTGCGAGCCCTGCCCCCGCGGGCGTCAACCGACGCCTGGGGTGTCGCGCACCCCCGCCAGGGGTCCGCTCGTTTGCAGACTCGCCTTGCGGGTTCCGAGCCCTAGCCGGTTGTTCAGGAGTGTGACCCGCAGGGGCAGGGTTCACGTGTGGTTGCCCCCTTCTGGTCTCCCCCTCCCCCTCCTGCTCCTCCTGCTCCTTCCTCTTCTCCTTTTCCTTCCTTCTCCTCCTCCTCATCCTCCACCTCCTCTCCTCCTCCTCCTCCTCCTCCTCCTCCTCCTCCTCCTCCGTAGCCATTGTGGCTCAAGGCCAAACAGCGTTCCATTCACTGCCTTCGCGGGGTAGGTTCCCGAGCGATCCAGCATCCAGTCGATTGCCGCCACAATCGCAGGCTAGCGGCCGCCCCTCCATATTGCCGCCGCAATCACGGGCCAGCGGCCGCCCATCCATATTCGCTCCGTCGCTGGGCAAGCTGTTGTCCTTCGCCGTGCTGTGCTGCACGGAGATCATCATTACTCTGGCTCGCGAGCCAAGCTGCCACGTTCAGTTGCCGCCTCCTGGACCTGTGCCACAGCCGCCACGTTCTGGACAAGAACATCTACAGGTGCTTGGCTTCCAGCGCCCGCTTCCGCTACGACCAGCTACTTCGACATCATGTCGGCCGCCTCATCATACCGAAGCCAGTCCACATCGAACGGATCCACGTCCCGACGCAGACGCGAAAACCGCCAACATCGCCGCGACGCGCCTCGCCGTCCCGAGCGTGGTGACGACCGCCAGCCCCGCCGTGAAGAGCTTCGCCGAGATGTTCGACGTGCAGATCGCGAACATCTCGGACAGCTCGGCCACACGGGCTTCAGCAGCCAAGGCCACGTGGTTGCTCCTTCACGTGCTTCTGGCCGAAGCGCTGCGAAACCGCCGCCCACCTCAGCGCGGTCCTCAGCCAGATCTGGAGGCCCTGCCGCTGCCGAAGCCACCCCCGTGGCCATGGATGATGAGAATATGCCGCCGCATGGTCCTCCTCCTGCTGACCCGCTCCTCGGCGCCGCCGACCCCTGGGCCAACTGCAGCCTCGGCTCACAGCTCGCGCGCGACATCGAGCTGGCCCTTACATTTTCATCTCAAGAGGTTGCCGCCGCTGCCGCCGCACAAGCCGCACCAGCTCATGGACGCGCCGCACCCCCTTCAGAGCAGCATCCTGCACCTCCTGTGCGAAATTAACCGCTTCCCGGAATACCTGAAGATCTGGGCGTCGCCCTTCGTGCACTTGTGCAACGTCAAGTCGCCGCAGCCGCTATTCGTTTCCAAGCTCAGGCCGGCCAGCTACTCGTCGAATCTCGCGAAAGCTCCAGACATCTCGCGCAACAACAAGTTATCGCTACCGTGCGCAGAGTTGACGTTCTACACGATGAGGTTGCCCGCGCTCGCAGAGAACAAGACCGCCGAGCTGCTGAACACCAGCGCATGTGGCAACATATCGACCAGATGCGCGACACGCTCGCCCTCGCCGAAGCCCAGACGCCGATCACCGACCTCAGCCGCCTTGCCGAATGGGGCCGACAGCCCGGCCCGGCGGTCTTCACGATCGGTAGCCAGCGCCTCATCACGCCAGACCTACTGCTCAACGACCTCCAGGAGTGGATCGCATCTGCCAACCTGCAGTCAAGCCATGTCGAACTTCTCGGGGACGAACCTGCTCGCCGCTTCACACTACAAGTAACATGAGACAAAGCTGTTGCAGCGCCCCGCGCCCACGCATTATCGCGCGCCCTCCGAGGCCCCGCTGGGAGGTGGAGAAGTTTCACTTCGACAGACGTTATTGGGCAGCACTGCGACATATACCTCAACCCCGACAAGTCGCCCAAGCAGATCCGCACTGACGTCCGAAAAAAAAGAAATGAAACTACTCCAGCTCATGCAGCAACGATGCCCAAGAACGAGATGGATAGCGTTCAGGAACAAAGGCGAAATACAAGCTGACCCAGTGCCCATTGTCAAAATCCTGGTCAGAGGTCAAGCCGATCCTCTCATTATCCAGTGGAACGACCAGGCCGCCAACCACCCGCAGTTCCAGCAAATCGATCGCGGCAGAATTGCCACTTCCTTCCAGGCGCTCTTTGCTGACACGGGGTCGGCCATGTGGCGCCCCTAACCATCGCTGGGCTCCGTGGAGGGTTGGCGGCGCCGCCGAGCCGACCACTATTGTCATTTGGAACGCTAGAGCCCTCGTGTGCCACAAGAGCAAGCGCCGCCGTCGCAAGCAGGCCACCCTTGCGAAGTATATGAAACGCAAGTGCGTCATCACTCTGCAGGAGGCCTACGGCTCGGAGGCCTACGGCTCGGAGGCTCTGTTGCGCACCTGGGTCGACACGCATCCGCGCCCCATGCAAGCTCTTCTTCTCGGAGTTCTCGCACGCCAACAGCGACAAACCGAATGCCACGGGCGGCGTCGCCACGCTCACCCCATGCTCTACCCCGATGGAGCTCGAGCAGCTGCAGCCGAACCAGCTCCCGCTATTCGCTCATGAAGAACTCGTCCTTGGTCGCGCCCAGCTGGCGGCCGTCGCGCGCGCCGTCACGCGCGCCACCTTGGTCTTTGTGAATCGCGAGATCGCCGACGACGACCGCCGCGAGGTCAGCAGGCCTGGGAGCTGCATCGCACCAGGGCGGAAGCTAACTACCGCTTGCGCACCCTCATCGCGACTGGGGACCTCAATGTAGCCAGCCTCCCGCCGCAGAGCTGCCTGCAGCCGCTGCCGCGGCGCGCCGGGCTTGCGCTAGGCAACGGCATGCGCCAGCAGCAGCCCTTCTGGAAGTCCCTCTTCGACTCCATGCTTGAGATCGAGATTGAACTCCCCGCGCGCTTGAAACGCTCGGACTTCGCCGCCGCGACCATCCACCGCACCTTCATCAGCCTGCCTTCGTGCGCCGCCCAGGAGCTCTCGATCCACGCGAGCGTGGCGCACGACGCCGCGCTGCTCTCGAACGATCGCCTGAGCGATGACGCCATCGTCACTTTCTCCATCGGCGTCAAGCCGCGCACCCCGAAGGAAGAGCAGGCCATCCACCCCGTCGATCTTCCGCGGCCCGAACTGCGCCATCTACTTCCAGAGGCTCCTGGACGCCACCAACTTCGACAACGTATCGCTAGACAGCCGCTGGCGCACACGCGAGCGCCTCGTGACGGAGTCCGCCCGGCTGGATCGCGACGACTGGGTCCGTCGAGCCACCGGCGATGCCAACAAGATTGGCTTCCTGGCCGGCAGGGTCTACGCGATGCGCTCCATCTCGCGTGCCATTCGGCGCCGAGACCCACAGCTGGCCCGCAGTGTTGCCTCCGCGACCGAACTCGGCGCCAAGTTCGTCAACGCTTCCAACAGCATCATCGCGATCACCGAGCCTGTTGTCTTTGCCAGCCTCGCTTCGCGACTGAACCGCGACTACGAGGCGCGGCAAGTCTCTCTCGCGCAGCAAGCCGCGCGGCGCACTCAGGGGCACGCGGGCGCCCTGGGCCCTGAGAAACTCCGTGAGATCCTGCGGGCCGCCCAGCGTTGGGCCCTCCTCTGGTCTCCCTGGAAGCGCCGTCTCGTCTTCCAGGGAATCGAAGTCACGGGCCCAGATGGGCCCAAGATAGCGAG